TGAGTAATTTATATTATTTTTAAATTCTGAAAACTTGTACACCTTGGGTGACTTTTCTTCAGAGATATTTGAGTTTCTGAAACTTTTGCACATTACTTTTAAAAAGACACCCATAAAATACTTACTAATGCTTCTAATGTCATAGTAAAAGTAGTGCTAGGGTTATTTTTTTTTATACTGCTGACTTTTGAAAGAGTAATTTTGTCTTAAGTTACATTTTTGTATGTAATCTCCTTGTTTTTTCTCCAAAGAGGCTGGTTGGTAGTCATGATCTGTTGAGCTCTTCCCACTGAGTCAATTCTCTTACCAGAGTAGAAAATGCTTCTAGAAGGGCCTTTGCCTGGGATGTTGATACACCCACTTCATCATACTTCTCTGATCAACATCTATTCTCTGTTTCACACTAATGAAATCCTGCTTCATAAAGTATGTACAATGTTTTTATGGCAGGGGCAGGAGGGAAAGATCTTTACTAAAGTAATTTGGTCTGTAGATTTTGGCAGCCTGTAAATACAAAGGTGATATTTTATTAAAGAGATGGATGAAAAAACTATTGTATGCAATTTAAAGTATTTTTTTCTGGTTTTAGCCATTCTTCATATGGGCTTCTGACTTTAGCTATTTTGCTTGTGCATTTTTCTGTATTTTTCCAAAGTAGTATTAGTCTGTATCTGAATATTTTAACACAAACAATGTAAACAATGAAAAAATATTAACTGGCACAATACAGTGTCTGGGAGTCTTTGATATTGATCTTGCTACAGGAAATTACACAGTTAAAGCAGATGCACTTCAGAAAAAAAAAAACAGAGTTGTGTTATTTGGGGCATATCACTCAATGCTGCTGCCCGTGACTCTGTAAAATTGTGAACTATCACCCCGAACACCTTTATTCCTATTGAAAGAAAAAGAAGAAAGTCTGGAGTTCCAGGAATTGTGGGTATTGCAGAATTTTGAGGCTGCTGGGTTGGACACTGGAGCTCATGCCAGTGTCTGTTGCAGAGCTCAGGGTGCTGTTGCTTCTCTCACATGTCCTTGTGCCCAGGCCGCCTCTGCAGCTGGGACCCTGTGTCGCTGTTACAGGGTCACTGCAAAGATACTGAATAATGGTGTTCTCAACGGGGGTGCTCCCGATAACGACCTGCTCTCGCCTTAGCTCTGCAGAGTAATTGTTACTTTCACGCTGTGTCTTTAGGTTGCCATTGTTGCAAAATTAGATCCAGCCAGAGCAGTGGCTGACACGGTGGCATCAAAAGCTCGGATGGGCATTGGAACCAGTGAGGAGTTTGAGCTGCAGCAGCCCCTGTTCAAGTTGCACACGTACAGTGAAGAGCAGGTAATGGGCTGTAATCGTGCTGTGTAAGTGAATCAGGAACTGAACTGCCTGTACTCGTGTTTCAGGGCACTCAGGCTGCTGAGGAGGCTGCTCCCTCAATTTCAAATGCACTCAAGGAACATCTTGATACCTTTAAATTCCCTCACTGTTCCTTATCTGCTCAATCAATGTATTTGCAATTCTTTCCACTCTGGAATTCGAAAATTATTTATGAAAAGGGAAGAGCTATGGTACAACCCTGCAGTGTAAAAGCTTTCTTTTGACACTGAATAAGATAAAATTTAACAATGTCTATAGCTAAAGTTGTCCAGCACAGCCCATTTGAAGACATTTTAAAGCTTCTCAGTTTAGTAATGGAAAGATGTGGGTTTTGTTTGGTTATTAAAATTCCCCAAATCTGACCAATGTATGAGGTTCTGACAAATCTTAAAGATGCTTTGAACATGTATGTTTGGGTCCTATGTCTTTATTCTCAGCATTCTCTTTCTGCTTCAACTCCAGACGGGTTTGGTGCTGCTCGAGCTGCAGTATGTGATCCCCACCAGCACATCCCCGTGCTCCTTCCCAGAGCTTCAGGGGCTGTGGATTGTGTGCCCAGTGCTGGTACCCAGCAGCTCTGGGCACTGGGGAGGTGATGCTGGAACTGGAAGCAATGTGTCACTCTTCCTTGTACTTCCAGTGCAGTCCCACTGCAGACCATGCAACAGGGATTGGAAAGAGGCTTACAAATTTTGTCAGATAAACTTTTGACAGATTCCAGAATTAATTTCCCTCATATTAATTGTCATTCTGACAAATGGAAGTGGCACTACCATGTAAGGCCAAGGCGACACTGTGAGAAAAATCATAAAGGCATTTGAAACACTTGGATGCTGTAGGAACAACCAGTAGGAGATTGAAGTCTGTGCTGCACTTGGGGCTGTGTGCATGGAGAACATGGGAGAGGCAGCAGCTCCTCAGGGAGCTTTTTGGCTTCTGTTGATCATTGCTGTGGTTTTTTTAACAGGTCATTTCTGACCCCAGGCTCCGTGTTGAGCTCGCTCTCCGAGAAGCTGGACTGCATAAAACAGTTTATGCAAGAGAAGTTTTGTCTAAACTTCCACCACCAAAGCTTCCAAGAAGAGACATGGAATCTACAGCTTTTAAAATGTAGAGCACATCTCATCTGAGGGGCAGAGCAGCATTAGAGCTCTGGTCTGGCCCACAGTACGCAAGCCTTAAATTCCCTTGGGTTGTCCTAGAACTGCTCAGTTCCCAGTGTGTGCAGCCATTCCCTCGTGAGCTGTGCTGCACCACGTTACACCTGCCTGGTGTGGGTCTGGAGAAGGCTGGGCTCTGTGTTCCTGGAGTGGGCTTGCCCATGTCCCTGGGAGCTGGGACACCTTGCTTAAAGACTCCTACACACAGCCCAGGCCAATCTGATGTGCAGCACCTTGAGTATGAATTCTTGGGATTTAATTGGCAGCAGAAGTCCAAAATAGCTTTGCACAGCAGTTGCTTTAGATTTTATTATATTACGTGAATAAATCCCACTATTTTCTTTCAAGGTTTCTTGAGAATTTGATTCTTTTCATTATAAAATCTTAATTGCCATGAATGTTTCTAATATTCCTTGTTTATAAGATGAAACTTAAACCTTTGTCTATATTTAGAAGATAACTTGCTGCATCATATTTACTGCAAGCCAGTCATTCAATTTCATATTGCAGATTAGTTTTTCAGCATAAATTATAAATAGAGCTGGGATCTTTATCTCTTTATTTTCTGGTGTAACGGACTCCTGAGACTAAGCACAGGGTCAGCCCAGGAGCAGCATAATGCCAGTGTTGTGGCTGAGTTTAGTGGGGAAATGCTGCAAAGCCTGCCCTGAGCTGGGGGAGTGATGTCTTCTGGACTCAACCTTGGTGTGCTTGTGCTAAAATTAACAATTCTGTGTATATTTGTGCTTTTTATTTTGGTAGCTCCTTTGGGGTAACTCGTTATTTTTAAAACACACTTGGCCACCTCAAACCAGCTATTCCTGTGGGGATATTCCTTGAATATTCCTGGGGGGAGACCAGCAGTGCTCTGCTGTGGGGAACAGACTGGCTGCAAGAAAATTCCCAGAAAGGCATAATCCCAAACCTAGGCACTTGATTTTTTTTTTCCCTTGCCTTTAAAAGCAGACCTACAAGATAAAAAAATTGCAACACTGAAATTGAAATTATAGTTGTCATATTTTATAAATACCAAGATGTTAATTAAAAAGAAAGTTTAGAGGGAGCAGACATTGGGTTGGAAATAGCAGGCATAGATTTTTAGACTGAGACTTGTGGTTATTTTCATGTCTGTAATTTCTCAGGGTAGAGACTGAGTAGAAGTCTATAAAGTCTGGGCTACCTCAGTACAATGATAAGTCAGGGCCTTTAGTGATACAGTGAGGCCAGAATGAGGATTTTGGGTGGGGTTTCACATAACAGTGGAACATGGAGAACATGCAGGTCAATAAAAGGGTATTTCACACAGCACTACCAAGGCTGCTCATGCCAGGAGACCCCTTGGCTGCTCCCCAGCCTGGCCAGACATCTCTTTCCTGTTCCTGTGGGAAGGAGGTGGATGTTTCACCCTACTTCATAATCCTCACTTTAGCATTGGTAACAACTGATCAGAACCCTTCAGGAAATGGAGATCCTTATAATGACATTGATTTTAATGATAAATCTTTCTACACGTACAAAAAAAAAAAAATCTTCCAAGTTGCACACATGAAAATAGTAATTTTAAACTTGGTAATGATAAATAGGCTTCTCAACCCACACCTCTTGTAGCCCTGCTTTGTGGGTTTGGCTGGGTAGGACTGGCAGTTCAGAGCTCAGGTGTCTTTATGCCAGGAATGAAGCATGGGCAGTTCACTCTCAATCACACTTTTACAAAGCTTGATGAGAATTTCTCTGTGAAAATTAAGTTACTTGGTTTCAAGATAGACTACTTATTTGTGAATTTTGGTAGTGAGAAAAGTGTCTTTAATGTCAAGCAGTGCCCGAAGGTGAGCTCCTCAGCTGACCACGGCTGGGTGCTGTGGTGTCCCTCATGTACTCAAATTCTGGCTGCCTGTTTGTGACATCTTTAAATACAGTAGGAATGAAAATCTGAATGGCCTTTGTAACAGCAATAAGAATAATGGTTACAAATACGGATAAACTTTCATGTTATTTATTTAGGCTTTGTCTTTAAGCACAAAGGGATCTCCTTCCTGGAAGAACGCTGTGGACAGGAGTGACCCTAACAGGACAGTCCTTTTGGGCAGCTGGAGGCAGGAGTGAGGAACCTGCAGCTCTGCTCTACAGCCGGAAGGTGCTGCCAGCACAGGTGGTAAGGAGGATGGAACCTGCAGCTGTGCTCTACAGCCGGAAGGTGCTGCCAGCACAGGTGGTAAGGAGGATGGAACCTGCAGCTGTGTTCTACAGCCGGAAGGTGCTGTCAGCACAGGTGGTAAGGAGGATGGAGCCTGCAGCTGTGCTCTACAGCCGGAAGGTGCTGCCAGCACAGGTGGTAAGGAGGATGGAACCTGCAGCTCTGCTCTACAGCCGGAAGGCGCTGCCAGCACAGGCGCTGCCAGCCGCGCTGCGGGCCGGCAGCCCCAGCGCGGGGTGCGCCGCTGCGGGCCCCGCGGGCCCGGCGCTGTCCCGGCGCGGGGCCCAGCGGTGCTGCGGTCACCGTCAGTCCGTGCGGACGAGCCCCAGCCGCTTGCGGATGAAGGCGGCGATCAGGCGCTGCGGCCGCTGCTGGTACTCCCACAGCACCTCGTGGGACGCCCGGATCTGGTCCCCCTGCAGCCGGTCCAAGAGCGCCACGCACACGACGGCGGCTAAGGGAGGGCGAGTGCGGTCACCGAGCGGCCCGGCCCTCGTGGGAGCTCCGGTCCTCACGGGCCCCCCGGCCCCCGCGGGCCCCCCGGCCCTCACGGGAGGAGCCCCGGCCCTCACGGGCCCCCCGGCCCTCACGCCCCCTCACGGGAGCCCCGGCCCCCACGGGCCCCCCGGCCCCCGCGGGCCCCCCGGCCCTCACGGGAGCCCCGGCCCTCACGGGAGCCCCGTTCCTCACGGGCCCCCCGGCCCCCGCGGGCCCCCCGGCCCTCACGGGAGGAGCCCCGGCCCCCGCGGGCCCCCCGGTCCTCACGCCCCCTCACGGGAGCCCCGGCTCCGCTGCCCTCAGGGCTGCGGCAGCGCGGCCGGGACATGCTGTAGGGTCAGGAGGGGCGAAGGGAGCAAGCTGTTGGTTTGTCCAGCACGCACTCAGGTCTTTCTAAGGCACACTTGGGTTTTACTGAGCTATGAAATTTGCTCTAGTGTCCTTTTCTAGATAAAATCATTAAGGATGTGTGTTTGACCTTCTGACACAGAAGAGGACCCTTAGAGGGGGCTTAGCCCGTGTGTGGGGAGGAGGTGGAAGCAACGCGACTCACCTTTGAGGCCACACAGTCCACACAGGGCAGCGAATGCAGTGGACTCCATCTCAATATTCCTCACGCCGGCCTCATAAGCCCTCCTTAAGTACTCCAACTTTTTTTCACTGGAAAAAGAGCATAATGCACCATCTAATCTCCCCTGACCTGGAAAGGAAGCAGAGAACTGTCACTGCTGGCCTTGCATGGTGTCATGGAGCATAGGTGCAAATGGGTGGTCTGGGAGTGCCCACATTCTGTCTGAGGCCCACAGAATTTTCCTGTGAGCAGCTGGTTAATTCGTATTCCCCTCAGTATTAATGCCAGCAAGATGTGTCTCTGTATAGGGGAAAGAATGATGCAGGTTTCAACCTTGGTGAAAGGTCGAGTCAGCCCTCAGCTGGGAGGTACCAGCGGATGCTGTGTTCTGTGGGAACGGGCCATTGGTGCATATCAGCTGTGAAGTCTGCCAGGCTAAATCCCAAAAATGCCAACTGACTCCAGAAGAGGTTCAACAATCTGTGCAGAATGGGAGCACTGAGGAGAGGAAACCCCTTTAATGTGGGTTTAATTTTTCTGCAGGTGCTGCTGTGGATGGAAGCTGGAGCTGCTTGTGGAGGCATTCATGGTGCGGGCAGCACCAGTGTGGTCGGGGAGCTGGTGCCAGGGCACTGGTGCTCCCCTACTGCAGCTCCAGGTACCGCTGCAGGCAGGACTATCAGGGTATTCAGGGAGGGCAGCCATCACAACCCTTTCCTCCAGCCCCTCCGGGGTTTCTGGCTGTCCTGCTGTGTACTCAGAGCAGACCTGTGCTCCGTGCAGCTCCTTTTCTTGCAGCGTCTGAAGGCCGTGGGGCAGGCAAATGCTTACCTGTGGCTGGCCAGCCTGGACTGCCCTTCAGTTTATTGCTGCTCCTACTTTAATCCTCTCAAATGGCTTTTTGCTTAAATAAAATATGGACTTGAGCAATACACAGATGGCTGCATCTGCAAGCAGATCTAAAGGTTTATAAATAGTGCTCAGATTATTAATTCTTTATTTATTATGTTTCATCTACTCTGCAATCAGCGTTTAATTTTGCAAAGGAAATGGTTCCAGAGTAACCAGTTTGTTTATGGAAATCTCACAGGCAACCTAATGTTTTCCTAGTGTTTGGTAGCTCTGAAGTGACAATCTTGCTGTAGGGGAACAGCTTGGTGGCAAATTCAGCAAGGTGCAAGCAGTGGTACTGTGTGTTCCTAGGGTGGCCCCTGCTCTGCCTGGGCCCCCCAGCACCACGTGGATCTCTGCCTGCAGCCCTTCTGGGCCTGGTTCCCTGGATAGTTTTGTCCATGGAAGAGTGGAAAGACTTGGAATTACACGTGGTGAGGAAGGACAAAGTTGGTTTTACCTTCGTAGAAGTCGTAGGTGCACATGGTATGGCCAATGAGCGTGGGGAAGTCAGGAATGTCCCTGCTGCAGGTGAGTAGTTCCTCCGCAAGGTCCTTGTCCAGCTCAGTGCTCCGCACCACCACATCATCCAGCACCACCTGCTCAAAACGTGGCCGAAAGGAGGAGTCCACAGCCGTGTCGGTGATCACAACAGACCCAGCCTCAATCCCTGTGGAAATGGAAGCTGAGGCTGCTAGAGCTCATAACATGAGCTCATAACTTGTCCTGCTGCCAAACTTCAGCACAACAGGAAAATCTCAATAGAGCTACGTGTGCTTGCAGGGCTCTTCTTTTCAGTGAGTAAAGAAGATATCAGAGAATAACTGAAATTCATGAAGTAGCACAGATGTACAAGTGAAATGTACAGAATCAGCACAGGATAAGTGATTGTGAGAATGTGTCACTCTCTCCTGTGAGTGACTCCTCCTGTGAGTGACACTCATTCCTGTGAGTGACAGGAGTTTAGCTGCTTCTGGCTTGCAGCTACATGGGCAGCACCAGTGCCTCAGCCAGGAGACATAGATTCATTTGGGTCACCACTAATCCATATTTTCTGTTTTGAAAGTGACACACGGCTGTAGTGGAATCAAGGCCTTTGTACACTCTGGGAATGTGCACTCTGCCAAGCCAGTCGCTACAAGTTTTCTGGGTTTGACCCAAAACACAGTACCATGTTTGATATTTAGAGACCTGAAAAAATGCTAAAGTTCAGAGCTGAATGACCTTTTTAATAATAGCTGTTTGCTCTGAAGAAAGACCATGAATCGCTTACCTAAGCCCCCAGAAGTACCAATACGTATAATAGTGACGTCCCGGCATTTTGCATGGTGCAGCAGTTTGATCAGCTCATGAAGCATAATGGAAATAGAAGGGATGCCCATTCCATGCTGTTGGAAGGAGAGAAAAGAGAAACATAAGTCCCCACGAGGCTACATGACTGCAACAAGCTCAGGGTTAAGCTGTGGCCTCTTCTGCTGATGGTGTCAACAGCAGTGTTTTTGAGGGGGAAGAGACATCTTGGGGTCCTTTTAGTCTGTCCAGGTGAGGTGTCTAACCTCTTCTCCTCCCCTAGATACTTTAAAGGTTCTTCAAGTTAGTAGAGCTGGTGTTCATCCCTGGGGACCCTGTGTGGGCACACTGATGGTACCTGTTCTTCAAGGAAGGTCCACAAATGCATCCCAACATCTGAATGCTCCCAGAACTTCCCCAAATATTGCCAATCATGTGCTGGCTCGCACTTTGTTGTCTCCTGCTCATGCTCTGGGAGCAGTGAATTTCTGTGAGAACAACCTGAGCCTTCATTTCTCCATGTGCCTTCCAGCCTGTCCTCAACCCCACTGGAGCATCTCTGCTACATTGCTGGGCACAATTGACAGCAGAAGGGTTTGTGTCCCTTGGTGAGGACAGGCTTCAGGGTCAGGTGTTTGCTGCATGCCTTGCAGGCTGCCTGTCCCTATTCCTGGCTGACATTCCCTGCCCTGCTGCCCTTCTGTCCCCAGCCCTGCTGCTGGCACTGGCTTGTTCCCATCCTCCATGGGCAGTGATGCCCCACTCCCATCTCTGCTGCTGCTCCCCAGGGCTGGCAGATGTTCTGGAGGCCTGCAGCTGTGGGGCTTCTGCTGCATCTGCCCATTGCTCTGTTGCTTGTTCATCTGTCTTCTGCTCCATGCTAGACCAACATCCTTTTCTTAGCCTTTTAAGTACCAAAAGTGTTTGGTGCTGTGGAGTTTGGTTTTTCCTTTTGAAAATGCCTCACATTTTTTTGGTTTTGCTATCATCTTCAACAACCTGAAGGAAGCATGTATGGAAGCCCCATTGATTAAGTTACACAGCCAATTTTTGTGTTGTCTCCTTTCTCTTGGCTGTGAGACCAATGCTCTGTTTGCCTTGTATCATGTTTTAAATATGAAACCTTTTTGCATGTTGTTATTCTGGAACATCAGCCTGGCTTATTTGCTGATGCCTAAAAAATTAATTCTCGTTGCAAATATTCAGAGCTGGAATCTGTGTTCCTGGCCCTGTATGTTTGAGCTCAGTTGTGTTTCTAAGCAACTTGCAGAAATGTGATATTGGTAGCAGCTCTGCATGATGCTTCCCAGGGCGGCCATGTGCTGTACCCCGTGTCTCCTTCTGCACTGGCCAAAGCTGGTGCACGGCCACAAGCTCAGTGATGGTTTGCCTCTGGCCATGTCACTGCTGCTGCCAGGCCGGGGAACAGCAAATCTTGTGGCAGTTCTTCCCCTTGGATCCTCTCAGACTGATTTCCTCAGGCTTGATTCCCTTGGTCAGGATTGGTTTGGTTTTTTCAGAGGGACGAAACATGAGTTCTGTTGTGTGAGTGATTCCATCTGCTGTGAATCACACTTCAGACTAGTCTTGTGCCTGAAGAAATGGAGTCAGGACCAAGATTTTGGGTGTGAATGCTCCCCAGCACAGCCTGTATTTGCTTTTTCCTGTGTTCAGTGCCAAAAATCCTGCTCTAAAAGAATAATTAATAATAAGGCCAGCCTTTTCTTTTAGAGCTTGTATCAAGGTAATACTCCCAGCAGCATTTCATAGTTCATGTGTGGTGAGAAGTGGTTTTGCCTCCCAAACCAAGCTGAGCAGAACATGTGCACGTCTGTTATTAATGCAGCCATTTCCAAACAGAGAGAGCAGGTGCTGGGGGATGCTATTCAAACAGGAGCAGCTTTGCCATGGCTAAGGTTGCACCGGTGGTAGTGGCTGAACAGTGAAAAGAGGGAAAAGCTCTGCTGGTGCGTGCTGGGGGAGGTGAGGGCACGTGAAGGAGAGGTCGTGCCAGCCCGTGTCTGTGCCGGAGCAGACGGTCCCTGCGCCGTCCGTCTGTGGGACCCTGCCAGGAGCAGCACCAGACGGCCCCGAGAGCGCGTCCCCCAGAAATGTCCCCAGCCGGCGCGGGACTCACGCTGATGGAGAGCACGGGCCCTGCCCGGTACATGGCGTAGCGGTCCGACCCCGCGCAGATGTCAGCCACGTCCTCCCCGGCACCCGCCAGCCCCAGCTCCCGCCGCATGAACTGGGCAAACGCCCTCATCCTGTTGGGGCTGCCGCCAACACAGACAAACTGCAATAAAATATCAGCGTGTTGGTACTTAGCTAGAACAAGAACCGCGAGTCAGCCTGGATGTGGCGGTGGTGGCTCTGCCAGGCACATCTTCCCAGAGAAAGGAGCAGGATGCCTCTTCCTCACCATCAGTCAAGGGACATTGGAACTCCTGAGGCTCACAAAACCAGGAGTTAACACAAAACCCACCCTGTCACTCTGGCAGGGTGGCGACTGCCCTGAGTCTGGGCAGCCATACAGCTGCACATAACTTGGGTATCAATCCATCTAAAATAATTCTGCAAATTTGAGCTGGTAGTATTGCCACTGATAGCAAAGTAAACCCAGATGTTGGAGGAGATTCATTGGTTAATTTATTCTATGAACAATGCTGACTGCAATTAGTGAGTACTTCTGATGGCACAGAGGCCATAAAGTCAGGGAGTAAAAAGGACAAATTTTACATATTAAAGGAAAATATGCTTGCTGAAGGTAGGAGGAGAATAAGTGTGCAGCTGCCAGGGCAGTGCTGATCCTGCTGCCAGGGTGCAGGGCAGCAGGAGACCATGCTGTGCTGTGCAAGGCTGCTCCAGCCCTGGGCACTGAGGCTCTTCCCCTGCACAACTAGGGAAAGACTCTGGTTTGGAATGAAAGAGGATGCCATCATGACAAATCAGTTTTGACTGCAGGTCTCAGCCAAAAATTATATGATATTCTCCTTCCCTTATCTCCAGTAGATGATGACCAAGATGATTTGGACAAATGCCTTCTCTGTCTATCCTCCAACATGGGGCCAATATTAAATCAGGTTTTACAGAGCTACAGGTTTTAAAAGGATAATTTTCTGTTGTGATTTCTGCCCAAAACAAACAAGGACAGAGAACCTCCTTGCCCAGGCTGCTTTGGCTGTGGAGTCCCTTAGCTGAGCAGCCAGACCCCACCCCATGGAAGCTTTGGCAGCAGCAGGGCCCAGCATGGGCCGGTAGTGCCGTGGGATGCAGAGCTGGAGAGCCTGTGCAGGGGGGAGCTGCTGCCTCACTTTTGGACCTGCTCTTTACCTTTATGTCCCCAAACATTGCTGGCAGGTTGTGTGTCTTCGTTCCCAAGTCCAGGTGGTACAGGACGTCCTCCTCCATCAAGTCCAGGTGTGGGTTTCTAACAAGGACAAGCCCAGTCCTGCAGGGAGACGATGAGGATATGGGTTGGGGCACCAGGCAGTACCTGCAGGGAGGTGGACAGGCAGAAGTGGGGCACAGGGCAGCCTGGAAGCTCCACAAGGGTACACACAGCCTTGGCATTGGACAAGGGATGGAACAGGGACAACGGACAAGCCAGCTGTGTGTGGTGTTTGGACCAGCTGTCTTTCTGCTCCAGGTAACCTCTTTGACACATCTGTTATTATATCTATGTATTTGGCAAAAAATATGTCTCAGTATTTATCAATTTTGTCAATGGCTACCTTAGCTCTTTCCTTTATAAGGTTTTGCCAGCAATGTCCAGGGGTGATATACTGTGCTGTTTTCTATGTGACAATTTATTAGGCTCTTGGCAAGTCAGGATTTCACACTTGTCCCAAATAACTGCCTGGCATGGCAGTCAGAGGCCAGCTTGCTGCCCCTTTCCACCTGCTCTAAGGGAAGCAAATAACTAACAATGCAGGTTAGTTTTGTAAATGGGGCTTAAAGAAACCCAGAGAACATTTTTTCTTCTCTTATTAAAACAAATTCAGATGTTCCCCTGTTACTCACCTCGAGTAACCTGTTGTTTCGGTCATAGTGGCTCCGCCAGAGTCAGCTGAAAGCGATACCCTGCCAAAAAGGTAAGGAAAACACTGCCTGTATTCTCAGCTGTCCAGGCTTAGAGCTCAGAAGAGGTTTCAAGGGGCTCTGCAGGGGGTTAAATACCTCTTGTGCTTTGTGCAGCTCCCAAGGTCAGCAGTGGGCAGTCCCACTCCTGTGTGCCAAGATTCCTCAGTGGCTGGCATGGTTCCTCCCAGATTGCCTTTTTGGGCAGGTGCGTCACCAGTAACCTTGACTGGCAGCCTTAGGGCCAGGGCCAGTGGCCTGCTGGCCCTCTGGCTGGTGACATTGTGCCCTCTGGCTGGTGGGGAGGGCTCTGGGCACGTGGCTGCACATGTGGGGAGATGGTTTGTCTGAGCTGGATGTTGCTATGCTACCCCCAGGCTGTGTTTCCTCAGCCCTAGGGACTGAAGGACAGCCTGGCCATGGCTGCTGGCATGGACAGTTCTTCTGGCTGAGCCGTTCTCTGACCCCAGTAGGTGCAAATCCAAAACATCTCTGCATTTGTCTGGGGTGCACAAAACCGGAATTTGGGCTGTAGCCAACCTCCAGCCCTGCTCAGAACAGCTCCTGGACCACCAGCCTGGCCTGGGGAGGCTGATTTCACTCTCAGCAATGCCCAGACAGTGCTGTTGGCTCTCATGGTCCACCCAGCCCCATCTCAGCCCAGGAGCCCATCAGAACAGTGTGCCGTGTGTCAGGCACAGCTTTGCACAGCTCCCAGTCCAGGGCAGGCAGAGTGCTTGTGGGGCTGCAGGACAAGTGTGTGATGCTCCTGCAGGAGCAGGAGGAGATTGGAGATACTGGTCCTGCTTCCTGTCCCAACAACAGGAGGCACTGCCCTGGAAGATATTTCAGGCAGCTGCTGGAGGGGCAGAATCTGGCATTTGCTGTTGACCTCTGGGAATTGTCAATGGAAGCTCTGATAATTAGGGAAGTGATAGGTAATTAATTACTGGGTGAAAGCACATTGCGTGGAGCTCACTGGCACCCTGCATTCAAGCAGTGACGCAGTCCTGCTTTCCTAATGGGAAGGGACAGAAATTATTGTAACTGAGGAAGCCTTTCCCTGAGCAAATGCCCTTTTTGCTACCCATCCAAACACTCTAAATTGCAAAACCCTGTATAAAAATAAGCAAACACTGCAAGCCAGTGGCCTGAGAACATGTAAATTTGGTACCTTGCCCAATATAGGGTCAGGATAGCTCTGAGAAGGGGAAGGAGCAGAGCTCTCAGGGATATTTCTGGCTTTCTGGAGTCATACCAAAGGCAGGCTGGAAGGATTTCTCTGCTCTGATGAAGTTCTCCCTCCCTGGATGCTGTTCACATATGCCTGCCAAAAATGACTTATTACTGACGCTCTACAGCACTCCCGAAAAGTAAGGTTCTGGAGACTTTTCTCCCTTTCAGAATGCACCAGATTTCTGTGAGGGGCACAGAAGAAGTTTCCTTGGGGCTGCACACACCTTCTGCCTGCCGAAGTCGCTTGGTGTGATTGCTGTGGTTTCAGGCGCACAGTGGATTGTGCAGTGGGCTCCATGCAGAGCTTCCAGTTGTGTCCAGTGAGAGTTACCTGATCTGGAGAAGAGAGCAGATGGTTTGCTGCTGCTTGCCAGAGGTGGCTGGAAATGCTCTGGGGAGGTGGGATCGGGCTGAGGCTTCCTGTGGATTCTCCTCCTTCTCCAGTCTTGTCTGGTGGAGGAACATGAGGCCCTGGCCCCGCACCCACCTCCAGCACAGCTGGGCAGGGCTTTCATCGGGGACCGAAGGTTCAGCAGAATGGTGGATGGATGAGTGGACAGACGGACAGACAGCTGGACACCTGAGTGTCTCTGTGGCAGGGCGTGAGTGTTCCCACCTGCTGCCTGGGGTGGTAAAGGCAGTGCTTCCATGTGTCCCCTTTTTCTGCCTGCCTTCCATGGCAGAGTATTTCTGGACATACCTGGAAGGGTCCACACCTGCATGGTTCAAACCATCCCACAATAAAACAATTTTCCTAAGCACATGGATAACTTTTTAAATATTTTCTTATGAAAAATAGTGTTCCAGCACAACCTGCTGGGACATCCCTGCCTGGTGGTCAGCAAAGCCCCTGCCCTGCCCTGCTACAGCCTCTGCCCTGGTGTGCTCAGTCCCAGGCAGGGACCTCCCCTGTGCTGGCAAAAGTGGCAAGATTTTGGAGGGTGTCCCTGCTGAGTGAGCAGGGACAGAGTCCCCTGGAGCCACAGCTCTATCTGGAATGTCAGGCTGAGAATGGTGGGCAAGCAATGTTTCTGCGGTGTTTGTCCCTGCTGTGCCCAAGGTAAAAGGAACCAGTGTGTTCTGTTTAAGTAAACATGATTGCACCAAGGGAAATGGTTGGACTGTGCTTTTGGCTTCCCAGAAGTGACGTTGAAGAGAAGGGACAGCAGCCACCACCACGGCCATTCAGGTTTCAGGGCCTGTCTGGCTCAGGTCAGCTCCCTGCCTGGCCAGTATAAGCAGTCCCTCACCTTTGGTTCCTTTGTCCATGATTGTTTTTCCCATGCTTGGTCTTCTTTGGGATGGCTTTCAGTAAATCCCAAACTGAAGTGTGGCTGTTCTTTTCCTACCTCTCCTGCTTTTCATGGCAGAGGCTGCAGAATGGAATAGAATAGAATAGAATAGAATAGAATAGAATAGAATAGAATAGAATAGAATAGAATAGAATAATGGACTAGGATAGGATGAAATGCTAAAATAAAATGCTTTCAGTTGAAAGGGAGCTGCAGTGCTGATCTAGCCCAGCTACCTGCCTGTTTCTCTTCCTCAAAGGAGTGTGGGGATGGTGAGAAGCAAAGAGCACTGCCCCAAATGAGTGTTTGTTTGTGCCTGATTCAGAGCTAAATCCAGCCTCTCCAAGTGCCAGGCAGTGGAGCTGTTACCATATGTGCTAGAGGATGACAAATAAAGCACGATGAAATATACGGCAGAATAACATATGGCAGTGTAGACAGGCTCTCGGCAAGGGAAGAGATGGGGAGAGCCAGCGCTCCCCGCGCCCATCCGACACCTCTTGTCATGTTAAATGCTATTTTAGAGCAGACAGCGCTGGCATCCTGTGCGCGGCAGGGAGCTCGCACCCGCCGCGCCCTGCCGGGGCTCTGCAGCCTTGCTCCCAGCGAGCCCCAACAGCTCCTTCTCCACTCGGCTGGTCTCTGCCTTCCCTCCCACCGTGCCGCTGCTGCTGCAGCTCTCCGGAGCTGCCGATGATGAGATATTCCAGCAACCTGGCGCCCAGCCCCGTCTGTGGCCGCCGGGTCGGGCTGGGCAGGCGGGGCAGGTGGTGCCCGTCGCAGGAGTGAGTTCCTCCGCCACCGCCCCGGCAGGGCATGTGAGCCTGTGCTCGGCCCCATCGCTCTGCTTCGATAGCAGAGAATGAGGAATATCACAGTCCGAGGCATGGCTGGTGCATTCCTCTAGCGATGATTGCTGGCAGTCGGCATAAGGGAGCAGCAGAAGCACCGGGGAGTGTTTTACCTGACAGGAGGAAAGCCATGTGCCAGCAGCACAACGATTTCCTGCTCTCCGTACCCGGCTTGTTCTGCGGAGCCAGGAAAGCAAAACGTGGATTTTTATCAGCTGTTTGCTCTGGCTCCGTGTTTTGCCTTGTTTATTATTGGTATAAAGCTGCTCTTGGCATTGGGACCAGACAGTAAAACACTCCCCAAAGGAACCAGGCTGCACAAACCCTCGGGGCACTAGAGTAACTGCAGCTTGTCAGGACACGTTTCCCCTGAGGGGAAGCACTACAGCAAAGCCATTTATTTCAGGCAGAAATCAGCTGCCTGACCTGTGTTGCTATTCAGGATTTATTCAGGAGCTGCTGATCTTCCAGTCCCGTGTCGCTCCACAGGAGGGGCTGAGAGTGCTGCTGCTCCGCTGCAGGAATGCTCCTTAGAGCGGACGGGCACTCTCCCGCCATTCCCTCTGCAGCCTTGCCCATGGCAGGTGGGATCCACCCTGGGAACAGGCAGGGATTTGCCCGCCGTGCCCCAGGACAGCTGGGGGGCTGTGCCCATGCTCTGGGCGCCCTGCCCTGCTGGGCTGCCCAGGAGGTGAGGACACTAGGGTGGCAGCTACGCACATCTGCCCGTCCAGGTTCAAGGAGCACCAGGCTGGCCCCACACAGGCCCCTGGTAAAGGGCTCTTCTTAGGTTTAAACCCAGTTTCTGGCTGAGGTTGGTGCTGGCTTGCTGCAAGAGCAGGGGTCCTGGCCCGGCTCTGACTGGCTCTACATGGATTGCTGCTGCCCACCTGGCCCCACATGGATACACTTCAGCAGGAAGTGTTGCTTCTGCATCTTGCTTCTCCCAAGACTGTGCTCCTTTCGTGCCTCCAGTCAGGATGAGAAGGAAGAGGAGCAGTGGGGCAGTTTGGCAACAGAGCCCTCTCATCCGCTCTGGGGTAGGTTCCCCCTTGCCTTCCTCCATGCTGCTTTTTGTTCCCTTCCCACTGCAGGGGTGAGTGAGCTGCTCCAACTCTTCCCACCCCACAGGGATGGGTGAGCTATTGCCTGCTGGGAGTACCCACAGAGGTTTGTGTAAATGTCCAGTTTGCTGTGACAGAGCAGACTCCAAATCGGCAGTGGAACCTGCAAGGGAGCCCCTTTCTGCTTGCTCCCTTCCTGCCCAGTGCTTTTCTGATCTCCAGGCTTTGAATCCAGACGGTGCCTGGGGTTTTTTCTCCCTTCTTCTTTTATTTTTCTTACACAGGTATTTTTTTCCTTTTGTCTTTTACTCTTTGGGCTTGTGGGTGCCTGTCGCAACTGCTGGTGCCTGTGGGTGCAGGCAGGAGGGAGGTCTGGGAGGAGATTTTGGCCACAATAAGGCAAATGATGCAAGACATGAGCACAGTTCATAGAGCCATGCTGCTTGTCGAACCCAATCACGTCTCAGAAACAGGAGAAGGAGCTATTTCCCATCAGGAAATATGTGGGGGCTTGGGTGGCTGAGCTCCAGCACTGTGTCCCCCAAAGCTGCCCTCCTGCCTATGTGCCCCACATGGATGGAGTGCCCACAGCTGGTGCAGGGCTGGAGCATGGCAGGACGTGGACCTTGGCC